GCGATATGACGTTTGACTGTAACCAGCATCAAATAAAGCCACTGCCCTAGCAGCATCAGTAGGAACGAGTGGCATTTTTGAAATCACAAACAATAAATAAGCACTAAAATTTCAACTTAAACAATATTGGCTCACAATGATATAAAATTACAATTTTAATTGTTAATTTTAATAACAAATTGTTCAAGAATTGTTATTAATACGGAAACAGATTTGCAACAATGTCGTACAACGACTATATGTCAAAAATCCTTCGATAAGACAAATTTAGGAAATAAGTTGTCACAGGTAATGTAAACAAAACAATAATAAAGGTGGTGAGGTTAATTTTGCTGATGAGTTAAATCGTCTGTATCGATGAAAAACATTAAACTACCTAACTTTTGTATTATCCAACTCATTAAGCGCATGAATCAAAAAACAAAATGTTGAGAAAACATGAGGCTATAGTTAGGTTTTAATTTCAATATGTTATAAATGCTAGAATATTCCAATGGTTGATGCACTTAGCTTTAGGAAAAACATACAGTTTAATTCACACACCAATAAGGCTATAACCAAATTTTCATAGATTTCCAGCAAGCATATGATTCCATAAAAAGAAGCAAATTGTGGATAGCAATGTTAGAAATGGGAATACCAAGAAAATTAGTTGAATTAACGCAAATGTGCAACACACACTTATATGCGCAATTAAATATAGGAAGCAGAACATAGATGCCATTTGGTATAAATTCAGGAGTTGGGCAGGGGGACCCCTTGTCACCGTTGATATTAAATTTTGCTTTAGAATATGCAATAAGTAAAATATCGTCTTTTAGAGCTAAGAAACATCCCGCAAAAAAATAATTTTTATTATAAAGTCACTATATACTGATGCGAAATGCAGCATGACACACAATGGGATTAACAGTGACGAATTCAACGTACTTACTGGAGTTAGACAGGGATGCATGCTTTCTCCGTTTCTTTTTAACATAGCTATAGACTATGTTCTCTCCAAACTAAACACAAGAGGGATACAATGGACGTTAACAACACGCCTAAGCGATCTAGAATACGCGGACGATATCTGCCTATTAGGTCAAAGGTTCCAAGATCTGGCTTACCAATTGGAAACACGTTCCACTGAAGCCAATAAAATAGGTTTGAAAATCAATATTAGTAAAACCAAGTCCATGAGAATAAATGCAAGGAACAACACGCTATTTACTATCGACAATATGCAGATTGATAATGTGGAAAACTTTACGTATCTTGGAAGTGTCATAACAGAAAACGGAGGTACAGAAGACGATATTCGTATAAGGATACGAAAAGCCCAACAAGCTTGGAGATCTGGCGAGTATACTACAAGGACAAAGATCCGAATATTCGGATCAAATGTCATGTCTGTTCTACTCTACGGATGTGAAACCTGGAAAGTGACAAACACCCTCACAGACAAACTGCAGGTCTTTGTTAACAAATGTCTACGAAGAATTGTTCATATGTTCTGGCCTAACACCATCAGAAATGAAGATCTGCTATACCTGACCGAACAAAAGAGGGTACAAAATGAAATTAGGTCCAGAAAGTGGGGTTGGATCGGTCACACACTCCGAAAAAATAGTTCCAGTATCGCAAAGACTGCCCTAGAGTGGAATCCCCAAGGAAAAGAAAAAGAGGTCGCCTAGTACAAATTTGGAGAAGATACAAAAGAGGTCTCAGCAAGGATAGCTGCGAGAAGAATAAGGCTATAACATATGAAAAAGATCACTTAAATCGGACAACAGGTTTAGGAAATATAAGACATCAAAAATTACAAATTTTTAAGGTGGCCGATTAATTTTGGCCCAGAGTGTAGATGCAACATCTATATGACGATGCGCAGCCATCACACATAAAAAGTGCTGGCACTGGTGAGGAGAATCTTACGTAGGGTCAACAACAAATGCCGCAACTACCTCTCCTCTCTTATTCATCACCTGTCGAATATCCAACCTATCGATGAGAGGCTATTCTCTCTGAGCAAGAGTTACACAATCAAAACCATCCAAGGCCAAAACTTCAGAGCACAAAACCTATTGAAAAGTACCTGCTCATCCATCGGAAATGTATTCAGAAGAAAACCTAAACCTAAAATTCCTTTTCTACCCACAATACTACTGGCCTTTGCCAGCAACGAGCAATCTGATGAATACATTTATATCCAGGAGGCAACTCCCCTCTACTATCATCGCAATAGGTAGTAAATGCTCACTTCGAGCTTGCCTAGATAGGGAAGGATCGGTTTTCTGTGGTTTCCCGATCCCATTGCACAATGATACCTTTTTATAGCAGAGCTATATTTATCAAATTGTATACATATAAATTCACATGTTCATAAATATTTTTAGCACAATAAATTCTAAAAAGTACCATTAACCAACACCCATTTTGCCGCTAATTGTCCAGTACGACGACGACAACTCCAATGAGCAAACCACCAGTAGAACCCACAAAGACAGAAAAAACACCATCCAAACAAAAAGAAATCACGTCCTGAACAGGTGAAAAACCTATAACAAGGCACCAAAACACCAGACAAAAGAATCCATCCCACAGAAAAGCAACAACAAGACAATGAGTCGTTTTATTTATTCATGTTTCAGTGTCCTGTTAGTAGTTGCGTTGTCTTCCATGTAAATTGTTCTGTTATTTGTTTTTGCTGTCTTTACTTGGTCGTGTGCCTTTTTGAGTCCCGTCTTGTTTCGGGTTATTTTTCTTACGTCATATTTTATGTTAGGTTTAGCTACAGTGCTTAAGTTTTTCCTGATTATGGTAATCGTTTTGTCTAAAATTTTTCCGTTTTGTAGTTGTTGGGTTCTTCGTCTTAAAGTGCCTTCTCCATTACTGAAGGTTGGCTATCACTACAGCAAATTGCTCTCTATCTAGAGCTGTTTTTATTATTGAATGTGAATCCATGCCTGTCCAGTCTATTAAATTCTTCAACCAGGAGCATTTTATTCTTCTTGGACCTCTTCTTTCTTCCACTTTCCCTTCCATTATAAGTCGTAGGAAGTTGAGTATTTTTCTCAGTATTCTTTCTCTGTCCAAGAGATCTTGACTTGTGACTTCCTTAATTAACATTTTTGTATGCATTAAAGTAGTCATGGTTTTTTAGTAAATCTCACAGTTCCTCACAGTTGCTGCTCATCCATTCTTTTTTGGCTTTCCCGATTTTGTTTCGGATGATTCTCTGGCTTTCTTTAAATTTTTCTTCATTTCGATTTTTGTAAGATCTCCTATGTCCATCAGTTCTAGGACTTCTTTTGTCATCCATGTATTCTTTGTTTTTCTGAATGTGTGCCAAATACTTTTCATTGTTTCTTCTGCTTCCGCGGGTACTTCCCTGAACTTTTCTTTGAGTGTATCATTGAGTGTTTTCCCTATTTCTGCGTGTACTATTGGATCTTTAAGTTTTTCGAAGTTAGATTTTATCTTCTGTCTGTATTTGATTTTCTTTAGTTTAATTGAAATGTTACCAACAACAGGATTGTGATCGGAACCGATGTCCGCTCCGGGATATGTTTTAACTCCCCTGATTCCATTTTTATAACGTTTGTCAATTAATATATAATCACTCTGGTTTCTTATTATGCGGTTTTGATTATCGTCAGGTGCTTTCCATGTATATAATCTTCTTTTTGGTTGTTTAAACCAGGTGTTTGCGATCATTAGATTTTCTTCTTGGCTAAATTGGAGCAAGGACAGTATTTCTCCTCTATCTTTGGCCCAAACCAAAGTTTTCTACTATGTCTTTTGTCCGCCCTTCACCTACTTTGGCATTAAAATCTCCCATAATAATGTTTACAGCATTTTTATTTGTGATCTTCATTTAGCTGTTTGATCTCTTGGTAGAATTCTCGTACTTCTCTTCATACTTCTCTATATGTGTTGTGGTGTTCACTTTGTACTGTATTATTATGATATTGTTTGCTATTTCCTCGTACATCCTTAGCGTTTTATTATTTTCTCTTCCACTGGCGTCATTGCACGTTTTTATATCGGGTTTATACCTACTTTATGTATCGTCTTGTGTTATGACCAGCAGAAAGGATCTTTATGTGCTAGTTGCTTTGTGACTCTGGTATCTGTGGGTCGTTTTCCCCCATATTTTGTCTCCATATAGGAGCATAAGTAGGTTTCATGGCGTTTTCGTAGATTGTCTGAAGTTTTGTAGATTGTGTGAAGTATATTTGTGGCTTACGTCCTCAGTACGAAGAGTTGTTTTTTGTGTTCAAGTCAGAGTAGACTTGAAATAATTTAAATAACTTAATATTCAAGAAAATTTTTTGCTTCTGAAAAATAACTCACTTGAGAGCTAGCTGTGCCATCTATCGTTCACTAATATTACATCTATTTCATTAAATTAATTTGCATACATAAAATTTCTTATTAGTTACCACATAGCGACACCTATTGTTATTAAGTCTACCTACTTCAAAACTAGTTAGCTATTCTCAATTTTCTAAAAACCTTATAGATGGCGCTAGACGCTAGAAATTTGACGAATATTGTCAAAAACATTCTCATTGAATTAATAATGAATTAACTATATTTTAATATTTTGTAATAATTATTTATCATTTATTTCTGTTCAAGCTTCGTACTTATCTTCGTTTCTATTTTCTTATTACTTCTTGCTATGAAATTTACTCTTAAAACAAATTAAAATAAATTTTCACCGTGGTATTTCCACTCTTATAAAAACTTGCTTAGTTTACGCTTCGAATATACATTAACCATAAAAAATGATCTATAAAAAGGATTTTATAATATATGTTTATGTTGGAAAAGTTGAAAGTTCTCTTGTGGTTCTTTTGTTCTCTCCTACTTTGGATGCTTCACATACTCATTATTTTATTGTGTTCCGTGTCGACTGTCAACTGCTAGATAGGTGTCAGTCTGGAGGTCGTTTTCAGTATTTCAACTTAGAACAAGTTAGAAGAACAATATTTGGCGAAGTGGTAGAACAAGCTGTCGAGTTTATGTCGATCACAAGTAAATGTGATAAGTGTTAAAAGATATTGTATGGGTTAAAACATAATATATTTTTGTTTTGCTGAATTTCGCGAAAAGTATAAATCACAATCATTAACAACTAGTAATGTTATGCTTGCAAATAAGTGTTTAGATTAGTAGTGCATATATGTTAGGAAGTAACAAATTGAGGAAAACATAAAGAAAATGCCTTTATTTGGTGGTAAGGAAAAGAAACAGAAGAAAGATGGACGAGATAGCGACAAGCAGCCGTCTTTGGAAGACAAATATTACTTGAAGGAACTCTTGGGGACGTAAGTAACATGTTTTCTTCTCCACTAGAACTTCTTGTAATTCTTCTATGTATATTTCACATTTCCTCTAAATCTCGGTCATATCCCTTCTGTTGCGACCTGGTTCTATCTCTGCATTTGAAGGGTATTCCCTTTTTCCCATATTTCTAGGATATTCATTATGAGTCATTTTTTATACAGCTAAATATGTTGTGGAAATACATTTATTATTTATAAAATAAGAAAAGTATTTTTGTGGTGAATACTTTCACCACAATATCTGATAAAAGTTGTGCATTATTTTTGTTTAACCATACCTAATGAGAAGACCAGAAGCAGATAGTTAAAACAATAACTGGACATCTAAATTTAATTACCTCATGTATTATTAATTGCTTTCTGATTCCATTATAGATAATATATTTTATATATAACTAAGATCAACTTGGTAATATGTCAGATGGTTTTAATGAGCATGTGGGACAATTCAAAACGGGATAAGAAGTAGTACATAGAGGACTAGGTTTTGGAAGCATAACTGACTCTGAAGATGATATGCTTAAACTAATATTACCACTTAGTATGGTAATTATTGGCCCAAAAATAGGAAACCTTGGAAAAGAGAGAAAACTTACCATTTACAAACAAAAGCTGGTAAAATCAATCTCAATAGTACTGGGACATGTAGTTAGTAACTATTATTTAAACTTAGATGCTAACAAAAAGAAATCAAAATTACTTAATGTAGCATGCAGAAGAAATTATAAAACCTGTATGTTCAACATAACAATGCAGGAGCTACAGGAACAAATATAAAGTATTCATCAAAAGCATCATCATCATCATCAGTAGCTTGACAACCTTTTTTGGGTCCTGGCTTGTTCTAGGATTTTCTGCCATTCTGTTCTGTTCCTTGCTTTGTTTTTCCAGTTGGCAATCTTAAGTGTTTTCAGATCTTGTCCCACTTGTTCCTTGTATCTAAGTTTGGGTCTTCTCTTTTACCTTCTCCCTACTGGTATTTGCCTCATTACATGTTTCCATTAAAAGCATTCATAAATCAAAAAAGTATTTTAGTCAAATTAGATGTATCCAAGGTGAAAACAATAATACAATAGTTTACTAAAAAGAAATACAAATGACAGAAGGGAAAAAATCCTATTTTTAAGGATAAAGGCAAAGATAATGATGATGTTTCTTAAGATCACAGGATTTCTGGTTCCTATTTTACCATGCATACAGAATGCTAAAGAGTCCTTTTGTTTATTTCTTCATTTTGTGATTAAAATCTGTCATAGTATACAAAATTGTTTTGTCAAATATGCTTTGCTTGTGAGTCAAAAATAGTTTATGTACTATTGCCTCTTCCTTTTGATCTTTCTTTATCTAGGAGTATATTTTTAGAGTATGTAGCAAAACATAAGATACTTTTTGATTTTATTTTATATTTACAGAACATGTTTTTTCCAAATATACTTCTAATGCTATGTATTTGCTGCTTCTATTATTAATCTTGTTTTCTTCTTTTATCCCCTCCTTCTTGCATTCATCTTGCAGCTTGTATTCTGATATATTTTGATTTTGTAGGTCTGTTGCTACTTATGTTATCTTCTTTTCAATGTTTTTCTTTGGTATTCTCCCCGGCATTTTGTGGTCCTCCTTGCTTAAAACATGACCAATCCATTAAAGTCTCTATACTCTAGCCTGTTTTGAGATAGATGTTTCTTTAAACAATTGATAGAGATCATGGTTGTATCTGGATTTATATAATTTTGTTTTTGGTAAGCTGTCTGTTACAAACTTGGTTGTACTGCTGATATTGCAAAGGTTTCCTTACTTTTGTAACACCTATTCCAGCATTCTAGAACTCTGTACCAGTTTGTAGAGGTCTAAATGATGGTTAGGTACCATACGTTTTTCTAGATACTTGCTAGTCTCCAAAAATTGTTTGTCACTTGTGATCTAATGCTTCACAGTCATGCAAGGCATGGTTGACTATTTCAGATCCTCTGTTACAGAGTGTGTAGCTTAAGTCTCAATGAATCAGTCCCATTGTATACAGGTGTCTCGTGATTGAAGCATGTTTACTAAGGAAACCTGGTACATTGTTGTTTTGCACTCACATTGTTTGTTTGACCTTATCAAGAGTCTAGGGTACTATATTTCTATTAAATTTACATCTTTTGGTTTCCTGGTTATCTCACTTCATCCTTTTTTTAATTGAGAGATATTTTTATGTGTCTTTTAGATCATTACTTTAAAAATTCTGTTTCATTTTCTGTATCTTATTATTTTTGTTTTTTTTTGCATTCAACATATTTTACCTGACTTCTGTCATGTTCCTTTGAAATTTATGCTTTAATTGTATTTGCTCTTGTTCTATTTGTAATATTATTTTATGCATGCTTCTTTTCATTTCTCTTTTTTATGGTTTTTTTGTCTATTGTATTTTGTTGTTGCTTTTAGTACTTTTGTCTTTAATTCTTGTCATCATCCATCTTTATTATAATTTAAATATTTTCAGGGGAGCATTCTCTGTTGTAAGACTTGCTGAAAGTAAGGATAATCCTGGTATTATGCACGCTGTGAAAATTATTGACAAGAAGGCACTTAAGGGCAAAGAAGACTCTCTAGAAAATGAAATAAAGGTGCTTCGTCGGTAAGTTTTTGTTCTAGTTACATTTAAGTTTATTTGTGAACATTATAATTGTTTTAATTTGCAAAATTAAACTTACAATAAGATCAACATTAATCCACCTTTTTGTGTGTCTCCACAATCCAAAATTTTCCTCAAAAGTATTTAGCATATATATATATATAAACAAGGCACATATTGGTTGATTCATTTTTCTATATTTGACTAATAGACAATTTACTCATTAAAACATATATTTATATATAACTATGTATATAGAGTGGCCCATTCTATATGTCATAGTCTCTGTAGGGAAAACTACTTAATATCTAAAGTTTTTTTCTTCACAGAACTATACACGGCCGTTAACACTGAAATTTAAAAACCATGTGAATTATACAGGGTGCTCCAAAAAGTGTGGTATATCAAACTTACATTTTTTCTTTAAAACACCCTATATTTGATGAAATTTTTGAATTTTTCATAAAAGATAAGCTTTGCTTTTATAACGGTTTCATATACCTAAATAAGTACAGGGTCTTTTAATTTTTTTTTAATTTTTATGTTTTTCAATGGATGGAGAAAAACAAAAACCTAACAAGATACAAAGAACTCAACAGGGAAATTGAGAAAAAGGTAAATGTAGCTAAGGAAGAGTGGATGAAAGAAAAATGTAAAGAGGTAGAAGATTTGCAAATGAAGCATAAATATACAGAACTATACAGAAAGGTTAAAGAAGTAGCTGGAATATGGAAACCCAAACACTTATCAATTGTAACAAACAAGAAAAACCAATTGGAATTAGACCCTGAAAAACAGAAAGAAATATGGGAGCAATATCTTAAAGATTTTTTTGGTGATCAGAGAACAGAAGAGCCCCCACAAGTAGATACAAATGGAAAATTAAATATTCTCACCAAATAAGTTTTGCAGGCAATAAAAGACGCAAAGAACAACAAGGCACCCAGCGAACAGGTGCAGTTTAATAATAGCCGAACATTTTAAACACCTAAGTGATAATGTACCCTGTAGGTACTGTACACTACACTCATTAAAAACATTTATGAACAGGCCACATTCCACATCAAAATCAATGAAGACGAAAAAACTGAAAAAATGCGCCTTGATAAAGGTATTAGACAAGGTGATACTATTTCACCAAAGCTTTTTACCTTAGCATTGGAAAATGTATTCAAACAGCTTGACTGGGAGAAAAAGGTCTAAACATTGATGGTGTACGTTTGAGTCATTTGAGGTCTGCGGATGACATAGTATTATTTAGTACAGATATCAAGGAACTGGAGCAAATGTTGAAGGAATTAAACCAGCAGTCAAATAAAATAGGTCTCAAAATGAACCTTCAGAAAACAAAAATAATGAGTAATTTACAAACTAATCTTTTTATTGACAACATCAGTCTTGAAAATGTAGACCACTATATATATCTTGGACATACCATTAAAATCGGCAAAGAAAATCAAATAGCCGAAATAAAAAGACGCATACAACTGTCTTGGGGAGCTTTCGGCAAATTAAGCTTTATTTTGAAGAATAAAGATATACCAATGTGTCTAAAACGTAGAGTTTATGACAAATGTATCTTGCCTGTAACTACATATGGACTGGAGACCATGGCCTTCACAAAGAAAACCTTAGAGCAGCTCAGTACAACCCAAAGAACAATGGAGAGGGCCATGCTAGGGATTAGTTTGAGAGACAGGATTCGAAATAACGTCATTCGTGAAAGAACAAAAATTACTGATGTCTCAGAACGTATTGCAAGGCTCAAGTGGGAATGGGTCGGACACGTTGCCCGAGATAATCCCGAAAAATGGACACAAAGATTAACAAACTGGAGACCAAGATAGAACAGGCGAGGAGTAGGCAGACCGCAGAAGAGGTGGACAGACGATATCAAACAAGTCGCGGGCAAGCAGTGGATGAGAATTGCCAAAAGTAGAAATTGATGGAAGCAAATGGAAGAGGCATATGTCCAGCAGTGGACGAACACAGGCTGAAGAAGAAGAAGAAGTGATAATGCAGTCAGGAAATTAACATACCTCATACATATATATGAACTAGACATAATACCTTATGACTGGCTAACATCCACATATATAGCTCTTCCTAAAAAACAAAAAGCAAGGAAATGTGAAGACCATCGAACTGTATTCCTAAGGAGTCATGCTGCGAAGATTTTTATGCGAATAATTTATAACCGAATTGTGAAGAATACCTGAGTGTTCTCAATATGGTTTTAGAAAGGGTACAGGCACTAGAGAAGCAATTATGGGATTGACACTGCTGGCAGAAAGGTATCTTGAGGTTAAAAAACAGCTGTATGTGTGCATTGTCGATTACAGAAATGCCTTTGACTGCATCAAACTCGGAAAATTGATTGGGGTGCTAAAAGAAGTATGGTTGAACAGACACGACATAGCTATCATAAGTAATACATACTGGAACCACACAGGATGCGTTGGAACAGAGAAAGGAAATACCAAGTACATCAACATAGAACGAGGAATGCGCCAAGGGTGCATTTTGTCCCCCTATTATTGAAGAAGAAGTTTATTTATTCAAAATTAAGGAAAGCCCTAATACATACAAAATTAATCAATTTATAACATTCATATATAAGATAAAAATAACAATTACACTTAAAATATAGTATCTACACTTATTAAAAATATTATATTATTTAATGTATATGCCGAACATATATTAGAGCTTCTCTTGAAGATCGCCCTGAAGGTACCAGAGTCAATCATCATCAACAATATAAGATATGCCGAACTAAACATATTGATGAACATATTATCAGAAAAAAGTCCAGGCTGAGCTTGGACATTAACTTTTCCAAAACCAAAATTCTGGTATTCCACAAAAATCCCATGAACAAGTTACACCTAACATACAAATAAATGGTATCACCCTTCAGAGTTCCCAAAGCTTCATATACCTGGGCGGATAACTAGACCACACAAAAGATGCATTGAAATAGCTAGATCTGGTTTCATGAATATGCGTAAAATCTCTGTAACCCCAAGCTATCAGTCTCCATAAGATTGAGAACACTAAAGTGTTATGTGTGGTCTCTATTACTATATGGCTGTGAGACCTGGACATTAAACCAGTATGACGCCAACAAATTAAATTAAATTCATATGAAATGTGCAGAGATGCTGAAATATGGTGGAAAAGTGGTAATTAATACTCTACATTCCCTTTTTAACAAGTTATTAAAAGAAAAAAGAATCCCAAACAACTGGAAGGAATCAGTAACCATTATCCTACACAAGAAAGGTGATAAAGCAGATATAAAAAACTAACGTCCTATAACACTCCTCAATGTAATGTATAAACTCCTAACAAAAATTTTAACCAATAGATTGACGACAAAATTCGATGGATACCAGTCGAAAGAACAAGCTGGTTTTAGAAAGGGATTCAGCACAAGTGACCATTTACTAAGTATGAAAATACTTATAGAACGAGCAAATGAATACCACATTCCTCTATATATGGCGTTCATAGATTTCGAAAAAGCTTTCGACAGTGTCGAACATTGGGCAGTGAAAAGTTCTTTGATTAACAGCCGAATTGACCACAGATATACGGAACTAATAACCAATATATATAAGGAAGCCAAAACAACAATTAAAGTATATGAAGGAACAAAATCATTACAAATAAGTAGAGGCGTGAGACAGGGTGATACAATATCACCGAAACTTTTCAATCAGGCTCTTGAAGATACTTTTAAAAGATTAGAATGGGAAAAAAAAGGTATAAAAATTTGTGGACAATGCTTGAACCATCTAAGGTACGCTGATGACATCGTATTGATAACCGATAAAAAAGAAGAATTATTTGAAATGATGAAAGAACTGGACGTAGAAGCTGGAAAGATAGGCCTTAATATGAATTACAGCAAGACCAAAACTATAACAAACACAGATGAAGACATCACAATGAGAATCGGACAAGATGAAATAGAATAAGTTAAGGATTATATATATCTTGGTCAAACTATAAAACTTAACAAAGACAATATGGAAGGTAAAAGGGGCATAGGTATATATCAATCGGTTTTAAAACGTCTTGCGACGTTGTCCGATGTCTTATTTCCATGACACTCTATCATCCCATTGGCCCTCTCTTGCGCTCATCGCTTTCGTTACTCCCTCTCTCCAAGATTTCTTGGGTCTTCCTCTCTTTCTGCGGTTTGGTGGTACCCATTGCATAATTATTTTTGGGAGTCTTGAGTTATCCATCCTCTGGACGTGTCCGTACCATATCAGCTGTTTTCTTTCTATGTCTGTTGTTAGAGAGCCGTCAACCCATATCTCCTAAAAGCGTCCATTTCTACTGCCTCCAGTTTTCTTCTGTTGTTTTCGGTTATTTGCCAAGTTTCTTCTTCGTACAATAGACTGCTTTTAATAAGAGATTCGTAGATGTTGTGTTTTCTTCTTTTTCCTATTTCATGACTCCACAGTACGCTGTTTAGACAACCTATCGTTTTTCTGGATTTTGTTATTCTTCTCTTTATTTCTTCATCATCTTTCCCCGTTGTGTCAAAAACGATTTCTAGGTATGTGTAATGGTCACAGGGCATGATGATTTCGTTATTTTCTAATGTGATTTTCGATAATTTGGTATCTATTGGCAGGTATTTTGTTTTTTCTGTATTAACTTGTAGCCCCCACTTTCTATTTTCTTCTTGTAATTTCCTTGCCATGTACTTCAGATCATCTTTATCGTTTGCTATAACAACCTGGTCATCAGCAAACTGCAATGTATACAAGCAAATCTCTCCAAGGTCTTCCACTCTTCCAATGCTCTTACAACATATATTTTAAACAAGGTCGGGGATACACAACACCCCTGATGTAGACCTTTATTAACCAGGAAGCTTTGCGGTAGTCTCTTTCCAGTTTTTATTTGTGATGTTGACCCTTCATACAGATTTCTTAAGGCTTTTATTAAGGTGACACTAATATTCGTCTGTCATAACTCGTTCC